TTAGCAAATGGACAACTTCTGGTTATATTTGCTACTGTCAAAGAAGAGATCAATGAACAATTTGTGCTAAATTTTTTAAAAATGTCTTTCATGTGAATGTTCCATTTTAATTCAGTACAATTCAGGTAACTGAAAGAAGAGCACACTGTGGGTAAAGGAACCTGAAATAGGGTCAGGGGACCTGGTAGCATGAGTCCTCTTTTTAAAAAATGACTTTTTATGAGTAACTTTTTAAGAGACAGTGGGTGACTCACTGACGCTCTCTCTGCCCGTGTTTCATCCTCATACAACATGGACAGTGGCCCTTGTCACATGCTGCATTATCGGGGGATCACGGGCATCAAGGTGTTTTAAAATGTGGAAAACACACTGACTAGACATATAACATTAACCAGCACCTACCAATTCCGTTCTTCCTTGGATAACATTTTGCATATGAATCCAGCTCCCCCCTTAAAATCACCTAGAAATCTGTGGAAATAACAATATAAAACTCTAAAACATGATATCATCAATGAAATTTTTAAAGATTAAACCTACATGAATGCTATTTCTATAACTTTAAAATACACAAGTATAGTGTTTATTTATGTAATTTTTAAGTTGTTTTTAAAACTCTTGGAATTAACCAAAATAGCCTGCTTCGTCACAATCACCATCACATTATTGTCCAAATTTCTTTTAGGACAATATAAGTGTGGCGAATGGTACGCACGTGGAGGACCAGTGCCTGGAATACACAGAGGTCACCTGTTGATACCTTTGCCCCACTCCACCCCCAGTACCGGCCCTGCCTGCAGGTCCCCAGGTCTCGCGGAGAAGCAGCGTCCGTCCGTAGCCCGTGGTCCTTGCGGACCTTACACTTAGCTCTCTTTCTTGTGGATTCCACACTCAGAAGCCCTGTGGTAGAATAGAAAGGAGGGTCGCGGTGTGCCCTTATAATAAGGTCTGGGTTCAAGGTCAAGGTCCACCACTTACTTGCTTAGAACCTTAAACTCTCAATAAACCTCAGTCTTCTGAGGTTTAATGTGAAAAAGAAAATAATAGTCGCTGGTCAATGGAGTCTTTGCGAAGCTGAAATAAGACAATGCAGCGGCACCCTGGCCCAACACTGGGCATGCAGCTCGTGTTCAGTGGCTTTTATTTTTTTAAATCTTGCACCACAGTGTCCTCACTCCGGCACGGGAGCAGGTCTGTGGCTGAGAGGACACCTGGCATCGCTGCTAACCTGGACCTTGTCCCTAAGCCGTCCACCCCCGTCGGCGCCTGGGGCAGGGCTCGGAAGAGCACAGAGCTCCCAGCCACTTCCCTCTGTTTTTCCTTATTGGGCCCTTATTTGTCTGCTGTTGTTTTGGTTCCCAAACACAGTTGTCACAGGGCTGCAGTGGGCAACGTGGAAAAGCAGCACTTTTACCTCCCAACTCTATTAACCTGCGCCTGTGAAGACACGCAAGGACGATGGCCTTTGAGCATCGCGGGCAACTTAGAAGTCTTGTCTTGAAGATGTCGAGAACATCTAACTGGTGTCAGAAACGTCAGCTCTTTACATGTAGAATGCATTTCGTCAGACGGCATCTCCTCTTTCTCACTTTGCGAGTATGGGACAGCAGGCGCATCATATTTAATTAGACCACCCTCCCTAGTTTCTGAGTCAGGGCCTTAGCACCATGGGTTGGATCTTTCTTTTGTTCTCTTGCTCATTTTCACAGTCTTGAAATGCCACATTTCTAAGTTGCTGCTCTTTCACTTCTGGTTTTCCCAATGCTAGAGTAACACCAACACCTTCAGTGTAGACTTCCTGGCTGTGCTCCCGGGTGGCACAAGCCTCCCCAAATTTTCTCCAAATTAAACTTCTTCGTGACTCTTTCTAGCTAGAATATCTGCAGTTGCAAGTCGCCTCTGTTCCGTAGGCTGAGCTCCTTCCAGAATGGCCTTCCTGCAGATTGAGATAATACTTCCAGGGGGGCTTCAACCACCTCTGGACCCTCCCCCGCCTCTGCAGCCAAGAACAGCTGTGCCTCCATGAGCCCGCCGTGAAGACTCGAGCACAGGTCTCCCTGCAGGCGCACGTCTGCACCGGCCCAGCCCCGCAGGGCCGTCCTCATCCTCCCTCGTGTGCGGACATGTGTTCTTTCCCGCGCGTTCTCTCTGCTCGTCTGCCAAAACACTGCACCTGCTGGGCCAGTGCTTAGCAATTTCTGTGGCATTTTGACTTCTGTGAGTTGGCTGCCTCTATCCCTCTCCATCTCCCCGACTCTCTTTCTCCTCTCTCTCTGACTTTGTAGGAATTCTCACTAGCACCCTCTATTTGTATAAACATCTTAAGTGAAACATATAAAGTGTCAAAGGCTTCACTAAATACCAAACAGCAATATTTTCAAAGTACACGATACTCTAAGACCAAACAACTCAATGGGCTCTGTTTCGAAAGCAGTGTTAGTGAGAGAGAGTATTGTTGGGCATGGTTCTCACTAGGCGGTGTCATAAGTAAAACTGAAATCCCATTTTATTGAGATTTTCTGTAATAAAAAAAAATATGTAATAAGATCTTGTTCATCCGGCAAAAAAAAAAAATGAAATAGTTTTCCAAACACAAACATAACATTACTCTTTAACACCTGACATCTGTGTATTATCTCATGCATTTTCTCTCCTTTTCAAAATCTATTAGAACCAGCAAAATGAGCAAATCTGTAAGAAGACTTTCCATGTCACATAAAACACACAAAGATGATACATTATATTGTGTGGGAACTCTGACCCTGTTGGAATATTTACTATAGTTGCTCTGCCGAAGTATGTCTGTCAAACTTCTTACTCTATGCACAAGTAGCTCCCACCATTTTCAAAAATTGCGGAAACATTTCGAAGCTTGAAAAATGTATGAAGCGATAAATGTTTAGAAAGCTCTTGACATTTTGCCACTCAAATCCTACATAATTTAATGCAAAAATGACATACAAAGTTATGCCTCTTTACACATTGACAATTTGTAAATTCAAGAATTTCATATCCTATATCTTAATCCTCATAAAATCAGAGTTTAAAAGGAATTACTGGCAGGCTGTAATTCAAGCTGGGAGTATAAGTATAAACATTAGTTACAAATATACAGGGTAGATGTAGGCACAATATGTTTGTATCTATGTTTGAATGTCTTACTATATTATGGTTTTGTATCAGGTATTGTTAACAAAAGAATGTGAGAATGGTCATAGAAGATCCCCAAACTGGTGAATCTTTTTAAAAAATTCAATCAATTATGTATAATACTAGTCGACTTTCATTCAACTACTTTTCATATACCAGGACACTAAAGTGATCAAATAATTATGAATAATACAGTTCTCTCATCTTAGCCAGTTATGTATTATTTTTATATTTTTTAACTTTTTAAAATTATATCTGTTATTCACAGCAGTGTTTTCATAGACTTTGAAAGCTCAGAAAATAGAAGGCACTTATTTGACAGATACTTATCAAGACTTAACTAGGTGCCAGGCACTGCGAAAGATCAATGAGATGCAAACGCGAATGAACACAGGCATAGGAGAGACGCTCAGCGCCATGCGCACAGGCTTTCCGAGAGGCGGGCCCCGGCCGTCCACGGTGCAGGTGTTTCCTGGTGGATGGGAAGCATTGCAGACCGAGGGGCAGTCCTTCGGAGATGCCGCGGTCTGCTCAGGTGACCTTAAATAGATCGGTAATCTGGAGTAAAGAGTAAGTCAATGAAATAACTTACATAGCGAGAACTGCCCAGCTTCTCTCCATGTATACTCCCGAGAGGGTACACATTAATTGAATAAGGAAGGTGTAACCAGTCTCATAGTTTAAAATAAACCTTACATTTAACAGTATTACATCATTTGTCCAGGGTGAAATCCTAGACTGAGGACAGAGCCAAATGTGTGCACTGTTACTACATATATTGAGTATTTAACAGGGGCTGTTTGACAGCGGTCGTTCACGCACTGTCTCCAACGTTGTTTTTAAAACACTTTTGTCTTTCTCCACCTCCCTGATGAACTCCAATATGTGTAGTGAGGTAATAATGTCAAATAATGGGGAAACAATCTCTTGCGTGATACAGGACTAGGACCGTAACTGGTTTCTCTATTGAGCTTTCTTTAGGGGGTAATTCCTAAACTGTATTTTTTGGAATACAAGTGAATCTTTAGTAAATGTTAACAGTTGATATAACAACGATGATTCTTCTCAATATTTTAAGTAAATTAAGGAAAATAATATATAAAATTTTTAAATTGTACTTATAACTATGTAGTCTTCTACTTATCTTTTCTACATATTTAAAGAAAGTTAGTAAACAAAATTTTTATAAATGTATAAGGTTATCATACCCATGTCATAAACACTACATGAAATGGCCTGACGTATATACATGTTGCTTGATCTGTATCATGGCTGTATTGTTACAATTTCTAAATAAATTCATCTTAAATTTAGAATAGTCAAATAGTATATTTTGTGTATCCGTATCCATTCTGATCATTCCCTACACCAACAAAGTCATCCATGAGACCAGTTTTTAGTTTTTACCTCAATGCAATGAATAGCTTGATATCTCTTGAGATCCCGTAGGTGCTGGAACGAAGTGTTTATACGAGTCGGAGTGGCCTGTGGACAAGCAAGTTTGGCAAGTGCTGCTAGAGAGCATTTCACCACCTAGTTCAGTGACGGTGGCGAATGGAACGGGCAAAGCAGAGCAGATAACCATCCGTGTCCAAGATTTGCCTGGTCCCAATTAACAGAGTGATATCAGGGCATTGTTAATGCTCTGCCACTTTGTACTGCATTGCTACCTCGGTTCCACTGGTGTGAGGAACTGTTTGTTTTCTGATTTTATTACACAATGATCCTTGATATTTCAGAACATGGACATTTTAACTTTACATAAGACTTGTTTGTTATAAACATGTTTACCATTTGCCTTGTAGCTAAAAGCAGCAGACCTTTAAACAACTTGTATTCTTTGCCCCCAGCAATGCATCTATTTGGCCTCAACTGGCAGTTACAGCAGACTGAAAATGACACTTTTGAAAATGGAAAAGTGAATTCTGATACCATGCCAACAAACACTGTGTCATTACCTTCTGGCGACAATGGTAAGGGAAAGAATTGTGTGTCCTGTGTTTTCCTCTAACGTCTCTTTCCATAAATTATTTTTACCTGTGTTACACCTAGTTTTATATGGGGGAGGGAAAGGTTTTGAAATTACAGATGTCATATTTTAATGAGTATTTTTTATTCACTTACGTGAAAAATTGAAGTTTTCCATTTTGAGTAGAGAGACAGGCCTTTCCACCTTTCCCAGGTGTGTATTTTGTTCTATTTTTAGTCTGTAAATACATTGTAATTCAGTGTATCATCTCATATTGTCTTGGATATATTATGCTTTCTTCCCTTAACTACTGTGTGGAGTTGGGACACTATATTTATTTTGTTATAAACACTCTTAAATACAAAATGCATTAAAGGATTCCAATTTATTGACCTTTCCTCTGCTTGCCCTTTCTCTAAACCTTCAAAAGTTTGCACTTTGAACTACCAGGCTTTTAAATCAATTAACTCTGAATCAAAAATGAAATTTAAGAGGTTGTATTTCATTTTTCCAACATAAACACCCAGAATGCTGTATTTCATTTTTCCAATATACAGACCCATGAAAATGTATTCATATGCATGTATATCTACATTATATATGCCTGCCTATTATTTTATATATGTTATGCCTATGTATCTTGGCATTTGGCATTTCCCTAGTGATTCTTCCTCTTTTTTTCTTATCTGCTGTATTTGTATTCTGCTTTAGAATCAATTATGTTCCTCTTCCTGTAGCTGGTTTCTTTGCAAGATTAGAAAGAAGCTATTATATAATTACGTATAAAATACTGATTTATATTTATATATATATATGCTACTGTTACAATTACCCATTGATGTGACTCAAGTTTTTACTATACTTTTGTTCTTTAATGTTCTAACTTCTGTTTTTATTTTAACAATAATACTTCCTGACACTTCTTTCTTAGGGAGGCTGAGAGATTTTATAAGATTTTCATAGTAATAATGAATACCCCACCCCCACCTGTGTATGGGACCTTCTGATACTCAGTTCTACATGGTCCCCAAAACTCTAAGCTGGTACATATCACTGTCCCTGGAGGAAGAATGGTAGTCACAGCACTGTGGATTAAAGAGGGGTGAAAAAAATCTTTCCTAATGAAAACCCTAGGTGGGAAATTTCAATTAAATAAAATACAGTTACTTTAAACAATTGTTGTTTTCTACAGCGATAACACACATAGATCAAGTGACTAAACAGAAATTAAGAGTATTTCTTTTTGGTTGATGTAGATTGAAATGTAGACTGTCTTAAAGTGGATGGTCTTGGAAGCGGCCCATTAACGCTTCTTAGCCATGCATTCTACGAAAGCAAGAATGGTTAGATGTTTCATTTGTCTTCAGACATCCTAACTGTTTATGCGGCCTGATTAACTGAAAACGCCGCGGCACTTGGAGAGCACAGTTCTGAGGAGGCTGCGGGCTCAGCTACTTCTCCCACGGGCAGACCCTCCTCTCTCCACGCAGACCCACCAGGGCTCACAGACGCCTGCCTTCCAACCCTGGCGTCTTCACCCTTGGCTCGGTGCCCTCGGTCACGCTTCGTAGTTCAGATCGGCAAGAAAACGTTAGGACAGCCTGGGAGGGACTGTCTAGAATACTCTCAGCCCCAGACATTTGGAAGAACATCATATAAATTTGGCTTCTGAAACCTCTATAGAGCTGATGGGCTTACCTGTCACCGCGACTGCAGTGAGGAATACTTGTTACAGCCAAACACACACAGACATCCATGTGTGCGTCTGCCAGGGTTCCTAAAATAACAGATATCCTCGTTCTGTGAATGCGCCCTGGATTTTCTACCCTGTTTCATGGTATTTCCCGTTACACACGTGCTAGTTGAAACTCACGCAGGTAATTTCACAGTGTACAAGGGATTGTGCTGCACCATTTCAGCAACACTGCTGTGGCACCGCCCCCACCCCCCACACACACACTCAGAGAGGGACTGCGGTGGCCCACGTGACCGGAGAACGCACTGCGTCCAGCCGGCCGGCGCACACCTGCAGAACAGGTGCCTCTACGTGTGGGTCAGGTCCCTTCTTCCCAGCCTCCCCCATGAGCAACAGACAGCAGGTGCCCCAGGACAAGTTCAGACCCTGCCCCACTGACCTTCCAGCCGCCACCCAGACTAGGGGCTTTGCAGGAACTGCCCTGTCCCTGGGCTCCGACCTTATGCAAATGATAGTCCCTCGTGCCTTCTTTATTATTTCTGGAACAGCCCCCAAAACCCTAAAGTGAAAGGAATTTTTATTTTCATCTTTCCAAGAAATGATTCTTGGTATGGGTCTCTTGCATGCTCATAGACCCACATGCGAAGGGCCTGAGGGAGCTCCATTTGCAAGAGGCGGCCCTTCAGAGACTCCACCTTCAGCCTCCACAGTAGGCCCATCCCTCAGCCACGACTTCAGCTCTGCGGACCTCCCAGGGAAGCCAGCTGCAGCCCCTCTTTAGAAGTTCTAGGAGACGGCACCCTTCAGAAAGCCTTTGCATTCTGAACAAAGCTTGCTAGGAGAAGGAGCGGTGCTGAGCACAATGGGCAATTACTTTCTGGCTTCTGTATAAATGCAGTACTCTGCTATTATGTAGCCTATTTCATCCTTATTTTATAAATATATTTCTAAGGAGCAATCACGGTGCTAAGGATTCAGTAAACTCCCTGCTTGCTTTTAAGTGAATACTGAACTGCCGCTTCTCAGGGGTACTAAGTATTTAAAAGAAGAATTTCAGCTATATACCCTGGACCTTTACTGATGACTCCTGAGACCTTCTTTGACTACAAATTGTAGAGATGAGAGGTCAGAAACACGGGGTCTCAGGCAAGACGGATGGAAGTGGACCGCGTGAATAAAGAGCGAGCATGGAGTTTTTAGCTCAAACATCATTCTCTTTCCAGAAACTAAAATGATTCCCCTGGACCAAGGAATTCAGTTAGCCTAATGTACTGGAAAGAATCACACAGGCCTCTGTTCAAGTTGTAGCCCCTTCATTTACTTACTTTGTAACCTCGAGCAAGTTACTTAACCTCTTTGAGCCTCAATTTCCTCATGTGAAGAGGGACTAATAACACCCATCTCTTGGCTCGCCGACTTCAACAGCCTGGCAGCCCTGCTGTATCTCCCTTGCAAATTCTTTCTCTCTTCTCAACAATTATTTTGAATCTCCCGACAGTAGTCAGAATGCCAGTCCTTCAGCCTTCTCAGCTGAAGTCCTTGCATTCTATTCAATGGCAGCAACAACAAGAAGGAAAGATCCAGAACTCCTCAGGAGTCCTCTTCAACAAATTCCCGTTCCTGTGTGTATCTGGTTTTATTCTTTCCCCTTTTTTAAACCGTATTCAAGTTCATCTTCCCATGAGTACTCTTGATCCCATCCTGTATCTTCAAAATGCTCCCCCCTCTACTGACACTTCCAATCAACACTGGAACATTCTGAGGCCATGTGACATCTTTTAAAAATACATAAATAAATCTTTGAGTCTCCCTCTTGTCCCGCCTCCACCCCGTCTTCCTCTTTTCCCCCTACAGCCAGCCTTCTTGACCAGATTAGTCACAATTTTCCTTTCTTTACCGCAAAGTACTCCTGGTACCACCTGGCTCCTTTGCCATGGCTGTCCCCAACTGCCACCACTCATACGGCTGATGTCTTCTGGAGTTACCCATGGCTATGGCAGCAGCATCAATGAATACCCTTCTGTCTTTACATCATTTAATAGTTCATCTATCCTTCCTCGTTGGAATATTCTTTTCCCTTGGCTTCTGGGATACCACTTTCCTCTGCACCTTCTTCCTGACTTCGTGGCAGTGACATTTTAGTTTGTTCGGTTAACTCATCTTCCTCCACCTGCTCCCCAGCCATTGCTGTTGCTCAGGACTCTGCTCTTCTCAAAACATAATCACGCTGGGTTCTCTCTTCCACTCTCCTGTCTTTACTTGCTTTGTGTGTGCTGTGCTTTCAAATCAGTAAGCTCGGCCTAGAGTGTCTCCTTGAGCTCCAGGCATTACCAACACGAACTCCATCCAAGTCGCTTTAGAGCATGTGCACCTGCCCGTCTCCCAAGCACCCCAGTGTCTGAAACAGAATCCATCAGCTCCTTCAGTTACCTATCGCTGCATAATGAGCCACATCAAAACTCAGCAGCTCCAACGAACCATCTGTTGTCATCTCTCATGCTTCTGCATTGTTCTATGGATTGACGAGGCCAGCCTTGTATTTTCGCTTGGGTCTCTCACGCCGTGGCTTTCAGATGCCAGTTTGGTCTGAGCTGGCCGTCCAGCGCAGCTCATTCACGCTGCTGGCAACAGATGCTGCCTGCTGACTGGGGCTCCGTGGTGGCTGTCCAGTGGGGCATCGAAACATGGCCTTCTCGGTAGGTGGCTCGTGCTTCTCCTAACAGAGCAGCTGGTTCTGAAGGAGAGAGTCCCCGGTGGGAGCATTCCAAGAGACAGGGTTTCTAGGACACTGGACATTCTAAGGTGTCACTTCCATCATGTTCTGTTGGTCAAAAAAAAAAAGTCAGTAAGATCAGCCCAGATTTATGGAAAGGAGAGTCAAACTTCCACTCTTGACTGGGGAAATGGCAGGGACATGTCTCATAAGGGCACAAGAGGTGGGAGATGTTGTGGCCATCTTCAGAAAACACATCTGGCCTATCATCTTTCTTTCTAAATTGACCTCTCTTTCGGGACTTTCCAGGTCAGCAGATGGCATCGTCACTCACCTGGTCGCTGAGGCCAGACGTCTGGGCACGTGCCTGGCCCTTTGCGCTCTTTCACCTCCCACATGCAATCAATTTCCAAGTCCCATCAATTCCCACTCCCAGGTGTCTCTTGGATTCCGTGGTCTCTCACTTGGATTACAGAAGCCACTTTCTATCTGGGATGCATGTCTTTAGTCTTGCTCATCCATTTCTTCAAACACAAATGTGAGATATCACTACCCCTCCTGACCCCCCTCAGGGACCTATATTCTAACAAAATAA